ACGAAAAGGGGTGGTTTGACCTGTGAGAACCACTACCTTATAGAGTGAGTTCTACCTATGCATACTGATTGCCCTTTTGAACAAATTTTTTATGCATTCATCATAAAGGACTTGCATATCCCATTACACAGCTTTGTTCGATGCTCTCAGCACCAATTGAATTTAAACATTTGAGTGTGGTAAGGCATAAGAACAATTAAATTTAAAATTTTAAAATGTCTTCACATTAGTTTTAACACATTACATATATTATACTCATCTATGTAGCTTGATTGATAAATAAGGCCTATAACTCATGATAAATAACCTAACCTATCTTGCATCATCAAGACCATCCATGCTTGGTTTTGTTTGGGATTAGGTGATTTAGATGACAAAACTTTCTGGGTAGTGTATCAGCCCATATAGGCTAGGGTGATGAAGCTTCACTTTTCTTGATGAACTTCACCCTAGGGAGGAGGTCGCATGTCTAGCTACGGCGTAAATCCTCACTTTTAGGCTCATGCATGATTTTATGTTGTAGCATAAGTCCTAGTAAAACAACGAGGTACAATAATAAAACCCTTTTGTGCGCACGACAAGCTGAACCCCTTGAGGATGAAAATGTAACCTCAATCAAGAGTTTACTCGAGTGGCTACGGGTACTTAATATGTAATTAAATATAGAGGCTTAGCCTTATAGAAAGAAAAAGACACCCGAATAGACACAAAATTTGAATCTCTAGTTGTGTATTGCTTTCATAAGTTTCTCTTCACACACACGCTTCCAACTGCTTCGATATGACCTCCGATCTAACATAAGTTGGGAAGTCATCTGCGTGAGTTCATTTCATGAAAGCCTCCACACGCTATTTCTCATTTGTCTTTGTCATTATAAACCCTTGCCTTACGATTCCTCTTTCTTACATATTATGTGATCCAAAAGAGGGGTTACTTGCAGAAAAAAATTATATGGCGATAGACAAGCTGATGACTCCCTAATTGACAAAATAGAAATGACAAGAAGACGAGCAGGCCTGTCAAAAGGGCGTCGATAACCGGTCTTGTTAAAGAATCATGGGACCTTCTCCTCGAGACATACAAAATGATGTATTTATCTATTCAAGTCTTAAGCGTGGAAGCCCTACTAGAATGCCTTGATTGATATCCATATTATCCAACCCATTTTAAAACTGGCTCTAAGGCCATGCCGAAAAGTAAAGTGTAGGTTTGAAAATCTCGAGATATTTTAATCCTAAAATTTTGATTAATCTTGTTCTTTTATTAAAGTTTTTTAGATAAACTATAATATTAGGGTCCTTAAATAGCCTTAATTAAATTTTCATGATCAATTTCAGACAGATAACAAATAGAAAGAAACACAAAAAAAAAGCTGTCACAAAACAAAAGTCAAGGCAAACTAAGCAAAATATAAGAATAGGCTGGTGTCACAGGGTAAGCAACATCTTCTAAGAATGCAATAAAAGCGGTCAGACTCCACATATACACGCATGAACCTAATTCTATATATGAATTTTAATTCGGAATTAATGTATGGGACACGAGCTGCTGCTACTGGTCCCCATCATATGGTTTTCGCACAAAACGCCTCAGAACCCATGCTCATATTTTATTTTTGATACAGATTCAATCTGATGACTATCAAATACATGACAAAAGAAAAATAAATGACTCGCTATGTAGAAAATGTTAACATGGGTTAACATGGAACACATATGAGCCATGTCTGATCGGAGGAGCTTATAACAACACTTGCAAGAAATGGTTAGTATATAAATCACAACATTTTGCTTCCCTTTATTAAACATGTGTGTGTATATTTACGCATGACTCCCTGCAAGAAGAGAAACCTAATATGCTATTGCACATGTCCACACTCAGTAAACACACAAAAACACAAGTAAAGTGATGTCTGGCTAATGCAACAAAACTAACAAATAACAACCTGACATAAAAAAAACTACTTGCACCATAATCCTAGGCACACCATCTAAAAAAAGTGCCCTAACCAAAATCTAAGTTATCGAGGGGTAAACTCTAGTGGCATATATGAGTTTAACGAGGTCGCCGCACCGGCCCCATGTTAAAGATCTATGGGATCTAACAAGTCATCCAAGATGAATTTTAAAATAGAGTTGACTTTACATATGGTCTAACTTAATATTTGCAAAACTTTTAAAAAATAATAAATATCATAAGTAGAAAAATAAAAAATTTCAATTTTAAAATAGGGAATTAAATGCACACCCGCAATATGCAATGTGATACAAGTTAGATCAATTAGATATTTAGCATAGTCATACTCATGTTGATCCTGATACAATAACTCGTATTTCTCATCATAATTTACACAACAAACAATGCTCGTTAATACATCACGACTAGCACACATTCACTCACTTAACTAATCTAACTATCAAAATACAAATACGGATGCAACTATAAGCATAAGACATACAAAATCCGGGGACGTTTGATTAGAATTTAGAAATGTAAGCGTTAAGAATTTGGTGCGTCGACGTTGTGGCATGTATGTAAATTTGTCTAATTTTTTATGCTGTCACGGGGCTTCAGTAGAAATAAACTGACCTTTATACCCTTAAACGGCCGACAGCTTTGAACCCGTCTCTTCAAGGTCATGAACGGCAATCACGCGAGGGTATAAACGTAAACCCGCTTTCTTCCATTGTCAGGCAGGACG